CATCAGTTCGAGTCTATTTCTCTCCCTGCTTATCCACGTGTATCCATTCATTCGCCAAAGGAATCGATCTATCGATATGAACTTTGTTCATTTGAGTATTAAATTCTATTGAATTGAGTTATATATGTTATTATTAAACATTAGTTAAGTTAGCTCAGATATTAATATCTCCTCTCCTTGCGATTCCCATCAGTTCGAGTCTATTTCTCTCCCTGCTTATCCACGTGTATCCATTCATTCGCCAAAGGAATCGATCTATCGATATGAACTTTGTTCATTTGAGTATTAAATTCTATTGAATTGAGTTATATATGTTATTATTAAACATTAGTTAAGTTAGCTCAGATATTAATATCTCCTCTCCTTGCGATTCCCATCAGTTCGAGTCTATTTCTCTCCCTGCTTATCCACGTGTATCCATTCATTCGCCAAAGGAATCGATCTATCGATATGAACTTTGTTCATTTGAGTATTAAATTCTATTGAATTGAGTTATATATATATCATTATTAAACAATAGTTAAGTTGGCTCAGATATTAATATCTCCTCTCCTTGCGATTCTCATCAGTTCGAGCCTATCTCTCTCCCTGCTTATCCACGTGTATCCATTCATCTCCACACCGTGATCTCTTCCTCTATTTGTTTATCGATGTCACTTTTTCCGCCTTCCTCTTCCACCGTGCTTCGATAGCAATCGTTAGATAAACCCAATCTTAGCAGCCCTTTATGGTGACAGACAGATTCAGTCAGGCTAGAAAAATTTCACTGAACATACACATAATTAAATTGTAATCTACACATCAAAAACAGAAAGTCTTAAGTAGTCGCTGAGATTGTAAGTGAAGTTACAATAGAGAAGGCAGCAAGAGCGACCACTCCTCTCCTAGGCGACTTTCCAATTGTAGACCGGCGAGTGGCAATTGGAAGAGTGATAGAGAGGCGAGAGAAAAAGTGAGATAGAGAGTAAGAGTGAGAGGGATAGGACAAGAGGTGTGAGTACTCTTGAGCAACAGAGCACCGCAGACCCGTTCAATTAGCTCTCACAGGACAAGCTAAATTCAAGACCCGGGATTTCCGTTCTATTTCAAAGTAAGTTCCTCAGTCTATCTCGTTGTCTAATCGTCTCGCTAGCCCTGTTCATCCATATGTCCGCCTTCTTTCGCCCGCAGATGGTTATCAATCTGAATCCAACGACTCTCACTAATGCGAACGGCCACATCAGCCCTATGGCCATCATCAGTCATACGTTAATGAATGATATCATCTACATGCAAGTGATATTACCGGGCGATGAGTTCTCCAAGTGGGTAACCTTGGAGGAGGCATTGGCCGTTTGCCCGGCGACAGTCATTGCCTATACGCAGGAGACACTGGAGCATATCTTTGCTTCGTCCATTCACGATGACGAGCCTAGTCTATTTGATTGATATCCGATGAGCTTTTCGCCTTCGTCGTCTTTCATCTTTCCATGGCTGCTCCCTCTGCTTGAAACCTCGAAGCTGCCACGATAAATTAGACAGCAACTCCAGAAAACAACAACCGACACCAGATTTACGTAAATGAGCAGATTTTTCAAATTAAATTTTCCAGGGGAAATTATAGATATATATTTAGTTTTAGATTTGGACTTAGATAAATGTATATGATTTCCTTTCCGACTTTCATGCAAGCAATTTTGACTTTGTTGGAAACTCTTCGAAAAATTGGCAAATATTTTCGAGCTGGTTTTTAAGAGTGGTTATTATAAATTCATTGAGAGCAGTCCATATTAAAAATCCAATAGCAATGTAACTCCAAATCTATTATATGTAAAAATATATTAACATTGGGGTTTTATATAAACATTCTAATTTTGGTTGATTTTTATTTCTTACAATCATAATGACAAGTATGCTGGGAATAACATTTAACATTTTAAGACTTCATAGTATTGGGGTACGTGCATGCAATGCGAACGCAATAATATGTTGTTTACAAGTCCAATATGTTGACATAGTACATACATTCTCTAATTTCTATATAGGTGTGCATATGGTTTCGTTTATGAATAGTCTGCGAGTTCTATTTATCTATTTAAATACAGGGTCTAGGTTTGTTTTTTGTTGGATTCCATTAGAGTAAATTTCATCATCCTTTCAGTTATTTGACTTTATGAATCGCATGTAATACTTTTTATTTGTCAAGGTTGCATACGGACGTGCTTCAATTTGGCCCAGTGGAAAGCAATTCATAGACCAAATTCTCTGATGATTGGACCACAATAGTTGGGGCCGATAGCATGCCAAAGGCAGTTGGTTACAAAAATGTTCGTTGCTCTGCCATCGAGATTCAACCGGACAAACTTGTCCTTGGCCCGTGATCACGTGCGCTTGTCGCATTTGTCAGTTACCTGACTGAGCGAACAGCAACAACAACAACAACAGTGCAAATACATATATACATATACACGCGTACATATACATGCGCGCCATTAAATTGTTGACAACGCGGCGTATGCGTAATGCGGTCGTGCCCCATTTTGTATTGTCCTGCGTTGTCCTCTTTCCACCTGCTCTTTCCTCTTCACACGTCTGCGCTTTCACCTTCTTTTCTGCTTTGTTGCGCCCAACCTTATGCGCGCACCAAATTTGTCTTGGCTTAGGCATTTCAATTGCAAATTAGCCCATCCCTCCTTGCCCCATGTCCTTCGTCTCTGCTGCCTGCCTGCCTGCCTGCTGTTCCTTCTGCTTTCCAGTTTCTTTTTCTGCTTTTATCGTATACCCTTTGCTCCGGGTGTTGTGCTGCTGTCGCCAAACATGCAAGCAAATTATCATGTTATATGTATGTATATACTGAATATATGTTAAAGCTTACCTGCAAATATATGTATAGTATTTACAAATTAAATACTTTTTGGTAATAAATAATGCCACAGCTTGTGCGTTAGGGTATTTAAGTTGATGTATGCCTTGGCCAGCTGCTTTCCATTTTCTCTCGCTCTGCTTGTTCGGCGCCATCTTCTTTCCTCTGCTTTCTGTTTACTTTCGACGCTGGCCTGCTTCAGTTTTTACTTTGGCCACATTCAAAGTGTACATTTCGCTTTTTGCGTGGCAATTTGAATGATTTATGTTGATTGCGTATAATTGCATGTTGGGCTTCGTTCGCGACGCTCTCGCGCCCTGCCACTGCCACAGCCACAGCCATCCCAAATGCCAAATGCCCGTTCCCACCAACAGCAACTTCCACGAGTTGCGCCTTTGGCATGAACGTTCCTAACCTCAGACATTTGCATTGTTGCTGCCCGCTGCTGGCGCCGTTGTTGTCGCTGGCGTCGGAGTCGGCGTCTCAGCTTTTATGACGCGTCATCTGTCAGCGACTTGTTGTGACATTGTCTGCCTGCTCCGCAGGGTCGCAGCGTGAGGGGGGGCCAACCGGGGCTTGGCTAGACATTGCGCTGCTTATCTAATTATGCGCCCAAAAGGCACGCAACACAAAAATGCCACCGGCCCACCTCCGCGCCGACCCAACCAAGTGCTGGTTGACTGTCTTTTGCGGCACGACGCTTCATTTTTCTAACCAGGCAAATGGACGGGGCTGCTAGATGTGAGGGAGTGGGCAGGAGTGGGGCCTAGCCTAATGGCAAGGCGCGCGCGCATTTATTTCGCTTGTAAACGAGCGCAATTTGCAATTTGAACGCGTCCATTTGGCGGCGGGATATACACTTATACTTACATAGCTATCTATACATGTATGTATGTATGTGTGTACCTCGTGCCTTCTCTTGTTCCTCCAGCCCACCTGTCAGCCATTTGCAATTGAATATTTATTTGCTCCCGTCTAGAGGCGTGGCATTCAACTAAAAGTTATTACGCATAAGCAATAGCAAAAAAAATTTGAAGTAGAATGGGAGAGGAAGAGGAGCCAAATTTTGCACTTTGCTAATCAGACTAAAGCGCGAACAGTGTGACCATGGTGAGGAAACTAAAAAGCGCTGCCTATTTGATGTATTTAAATACCAGCTGAAGATCGTGAGTGGGAATTGATTTCAATTAAATATATTTTTGCTAAAACTTATTTAATAATGCAATTTATGAATAATAATAATAAAGTTTAGTAACTTTCATATTTATTGCATTCTTTTATTATAGACATATATGAAAGTCGTTAGTGTGGATCTTAAAATTAGCCACCTGTCATGCGGCTGGTCACACTGTCTAACAATGCCTTTGCCAAGCGCACGAACTTGCGTCGCAGATTAGAAATGGCAGCAGAATGCAAAAACGAAATGAACGCAAGCTGAACCGACTGGCGCGAGTAGGAGCGAGAGCAGGACAGCGAGTGAGCGAGTAAAGAAGCAAAAGAGAGGAGTGGATTGGAGTGGGAAACGTCAGCTAATAAAATGAACTTTATGCGCGAACGTGCGTGGACTTCAAACAGCAAAAGGAACACGCAGAAGAAGAAGAAGAAGAAGAAGCTGGGACACACATTAAAATAGATGCAGCCAAGAGGCGGAGAAATATAGAGCAGAGGGCAAGTAAGAGTAAGGCACGGTTGGATAGTTATTGCCCAGTGTCCCTGTGTCAGCTCTCCTTTATGCTCCCTATCTCTCTTTCTGTCTCTCTCTCAGTTACAGTTTCAGTTGCCTAATTATAATTTTGCAATTCTGCTGGCGCATGCAAAATTCATGACTGCCGGGGGAAGAGGAAGTGGAAGAGGAAGGTAATGGCTTGGCCGAAGCGGGAGAACGGAGGCGCTCACATAACATTGTGCTTCTCTTTTGCACTCACACTCTTTGATGATGCTGCTGCTGTTACTGCTGCTGCTGCTGCTTCCGCTGCTCTTGCCGCTGCTCTTGCCGCTGATGTTAACATAAAACATGACAACTTCCGGCTGCTACTTTGCTAAAAGCGCAGCGAGCACGGGACGTGGGCGTGGCAGCTGAGAGGGGCGCACGTTAAGCGTTTTATGGCCAAAAATGTGCGTTTCATTTGGCGTTGGCAGCGTGCTCTGTTCGCTTTGCGCTGATTCCCAAAACTTCCGTTGAAATACCTTAGAAAAAATAATGAAGGGGCATATTCAGTGAGTGGACATAATTGAAAATTTATATCAAATCTGCCTTAGAAAAATATAAATATTCATGCAGAAATTGAATGGAAATGAAGCATATTCATCAAGGTCAGGGTATGAACAGGATAAACAAGAGTTGAGCTTACTGAATTGAATTTCTCACTTAGCATTAACAGAGTATCGCTCAGTCGACTTCTTTCGGTCTTAAGCGTTTTCACTTGTTATTTGCTGCTTTTCTGCGAATGTTGCAAATCTTGGCGAAAAAAAAACTTGTCGTAAAAATATTTTCATCAGCCAAGATGGGGCGTGTCCGAAAGGGGGTAGGGGCAGGGGTCGGAGACGGTCTTTGGGAGCAGGGGGCCTGGTGCGAAATGAAGCAATGAAAACGGGCAATAAACAAATGGCACAGCGCAGCGGAAGCTAAAGCAAAGCGCACAAAATGGCGGCCAGCGCACCGGAAGACAAAGACATCAGACGCCATGCCGCCCGTCCAGCCTCGCCGCTCTCCCGGCTGCACGCTCTGTTTCGGTTGGCGGGGAATTTATGAAGCATAAGCTGCATAAACATTTAGATTACATAAGCGTCAGGCTCGAGCATATCCTGGGCCAGGACACAGCAAATCCAGCGACGCTTGCAACATTTTAAGTGTCGATAATTTTTGGTTCACTCAATGACAGGGCACAGCGGGGCGTGGCAGGGCATGGCCGGAGTGTCAGCGCCTCCGCTCTCACGGAGAGCTCATGCATATGCATTGACTATGCAAATGACAAACAGGAGTAAAGGAGAGCGAGAGAGAGGGAGAGGGAGAGTGAGAGAGTGAATAGAATGAAACGATGCGATAAGCAAAGCATTTAAAATTGCATAGAAGGCACGAAATTTGCATTTGTTCAATGCAAGAATGAGTGGGAGAGAGAGAGAGAGAGGCAGAGGGAGAGAGTGAGTGAGAGAGAGAGGCAAATGTAAATGTTTTGTGTCAGCAATAAACAATAGACCAACAAGTGAATATCCCCGAATAATTCGATGCAACTCGTGCCGAGATAAGTGCGGAGCATAATGGAATGGAATTGGGTTTGGAGTCAAGATTAACGCAAAGGGAAAACAAAAGAATATCTTGATTAAAAGAACGCTCGAACGCATGCCGAGCACAGTGGAATGAAATGGAACACTTTACAAAGCCATGGATAATTATTAATGCAACGCATTGAGAGGAGTTTAATGAAATGCATTCAAATGGAATGGAATACGTTTAAAAGTTATGCATAATAATTAGGTTGCAAAAAACGAGCGGAGTATGAAGGTAGCCAGCAACGAAATGGAATGGAATGCAAAACGTTTAAGCATTACGAATAGTCATTAGTTTAACGAAACGGAGAGAGTAGCATGAAATGCATGGAATTATATTATAGATTAGATTGAGACTAAGTGGAATGGAGTAGAAAAGCGAAAACGAAAACAA